TATTTCTCTCTCTCTCTCTCTCTCACTCACTCACTTACGTGATATGATATGGATTTGTTGTCCGACATCTGATCCCCAGAAGTTTTACCACTACTACTGGCTGCCGGCGAGAGTAGGGCTGGCGGTGGGGGTGGCAGAGGTGGCAATGGCTGGTCTTTGCCAGCGCTCACCACCAGTGCGTTCACATTCATATCAAGACCATTACCATTGATGGTCACATCCGAGAAGAGACTCTCGTTGTCATCGGCGCCGTCAAGACATGTTCTGTAAGACATTGTCTTATTGTCATAAGACAAGCCGGTGGTCACAGTCGCCGTTCCCTTACTGACCATCCCGTGCCGTATCTGTTCCAACCCCTCCGCCGACCGGTCACTCTTTAGCGCCAGTACTGGCGGTTGTGGTGTCGATCTGCTATCTATGGGCACATCTATTGGTGTCTTAACGCTGGTTACATCGCTATAACTCGGCGGTGCCCTAACCTTCGGACCCATTATCATCATCGGTTTGCCAACCGATGGCGTGTCCATAGGTTGTTCCGCCGGCATTCCTCTGACTACCAATCGCTTCAGTCGTTGCAGTTGTTGCTCGTAAACCAAACTCTTAAACTCGTTAGAGTCCGACCGATCACCAAACCTGATCCCTGTCCATCCGGCGGCCATTTTAAACACGTGAAAGTCCGACTGGTTTGGCTCGTAAGAAAAGTTGGCCTGTCTTAGGTCCAGCTCGAAGTGAATGGTGTTTAGGTGCTGGTCGTACACCCGTACCAGACACTGGCCATCACTGATACGATCGGTTAGTACAGTGACCACCCGTTGGTGACCAATAGACCAGTGGTCGCTTGTGTCGGCCGACTTTGACCATAGCTGCACCTGAGGTGAGGTGAGCAACACTTTCCAGCCCTTTCCGCACAGGGATTGAGATATTTGTTGGTTAATCTCCGATGAGATCGCTGTCGGCGACCGCCCATCAAGTGATGGGAAAGTTTTGGTTGAGTTTTTAAACATTTTTCGTTATCTTATCTTAAGATTATGGGATTAAAGTGACGACAATCGCAGAGATATCACGTTTTTTTTGTGAACAGACAATGCCTTCAATATTAATAAAAACGTGTTTAAAATGATTTTTAATAACCCATTCATACCTTAATTATTAAGGCTTAATATAATTTGATGAATGGCTTTGAATGGCTATAAATTACTCATACATGTAATGCCAATGAATTGTTTTTTCCAAGTATTTAATATGTATCTAAAAATAATTCATAATTAACTCATATTAATCTATAAATGCATTTTATACTTGAAATTTTTAAACTTTATATGATTAATACGGCTAAAACTTTAGTGCAACTTTAGTGCAGTTTTGTCAATAATGTGCATTATTTTAAAAATATAATAATAATTATTGCAACTATTTTATAGATGCATAACATAAACTGAATAGATGATTTTGTGTTACCCTTTGACTAATTCACAACTTTTATGAGTCTGATTATTAAATGACTCATTAAATTTTAGCCCTAATGATTAATCAATTTGTAATTAACATAAATGCCATCAACTTTTATATCGTATGGTTATTGAATATTGATTTGCGCAAGGTTGCTTTAATTATTTGCACATTAAGTGGTGGCGACACTTAAATAATATTAATGAACTATAATGAATTACCTGATTTATACAGTATGCAAGTTGAACAAGTACAAACTAGCACTTTATTTACCAATATGCATAACTACAAAGGTCAATTCAATGAGTCGACAGAAAATATTGTCTAATAGTTATGGAAATTCAATGGGTTTTCCCAACCGATTAGCCAATGAAAGCACTTTTAATACACATTCAATAGGTATTCACTATTAAAAGCATTGGTTAACAAAACCATTGAAACCATAATTAATATAATCAATGATTAATTAATCGCTAATTATATCATACGTTAGCGCAAGAAATGTCATCCAAATTATCAGCGAATGACCACAAGAATCGGTCATCTATTTTGTCGATGACATCAGTGGCGGTGACGGACGAGACACTCGCTCACCGGTTGGCCGGCGTATTGAGTGAACAGGGATTCAAAGTGCTATTCATGTCATCGCCGGTGCAGTTGTGGTCAAAGAGCGCGGACACCAATCAGTGGTCAATCGACTACAAGATAATCATTGCCGTCATCACCGGTGGATCCAATGCCTCGGGCTATCGTCAGTGTCTGATCCGTGTCTACGATCGTAATCTGGAGACAATTCACTTCGAGCTCGATATCAATGGCCGAGACTTTGCGTACGAGTGGCGCAACAGTCGGTTCCACGTCTTCGGGCGCCACCACGACGTGTCAAACGGGTGGACAGGTCTGCGGTTTGTGGACATCAACCACTCGACAGCATT